TTTTCCTTCACTTTTTCCTGTAATTTATCAGGCTGCAATGAAACAATATGAATCTAAACTACCACCTAACAGCAGCATGTCTCACAGCAGCTTTATTGTAGGGACCGCTTTCGTTCCAGACAATTTTTTGGAAACTTTCTTTATATCTATGGAGACAAAATGACATAAAGCTGTAAAGATATTTTTTCTAACAAAGTTGAAATCAGGTGAGGAGGATGGCACACTTGAAAAACAGCTGTTTTACTCTGAAGCTTTTACTTTGGAGACATTTTAAGCAAAATTTTAAGTGTCATTCTACATGTTCATGCAATAGACAACAATTGATTCTAATCATTGGTTTTTGTCTCATTGCAGCTGAAGACAGAGTTGGAGCTTTCCTCCCAGCAGCAGAGCAGACTGAATGAGGTTATTCGTGCCATCACACAGGTAAGAGTTGAGTTGTATTATTATTAACAGTTTGCTAGAATGTGTTTACGTGTTTTAATGTTCAAAAACAAGTTAATTTTCTCATACTGTACTTTGTTGCTGTTGGCCCAACAAAAGTGAGGCTGCTGCAATTAGTCAACATAATCGATGACATCAATGCTGGAAATGTGACGACATCGACGTTTCTAATTGACGCACATTTTTTAAAAGAAAAGGAAATGTTTTTCTTCAGAGATCGTCTGCACTCAGCGTGACGGTTTTAGATAATTGCGGTGTCCAACACAGTAAAATGTGAACGTTTCCAAAGATCCAAAGGCTGCAGAAGTATGGCCGTACTTTAAATGATGTTTGAAACAAAAAGGTGGCTCATACACGGTGCAGAGTTTCAATGGCAGACCACAGGAACACACAAGGATCTGAATAGAAACATTCAACACGGAAGCACGTTATAGTTGTTTGCTTCTCACATATAATGGATTTTAATACAGCTGCATTTCCGATAGCTCTGTTCATGTAAACCACTCATCACTACTAATCTTCTTTAATGCAATTTTATAACCTCAACGTCATCTGACACCATGTATAGAGCTTAGAGACAACTGAAAGAAGAGAAGGAGTTGCTTTTGCTATTTCATGCTTGTAAATCACCTGTTATGTTCATGTTGTGCTTTGTTTCATATACAGAAACTTCTATTCTGTTTCTACTGACCTTCTTTATTTAGTTTTATCATATAGGAGTTTCCATGTTAACCAAACAGTTAGCCCCACAGTTTGTTAAAATAAAATGAGCTTAAATGCTTTTTTTTTTTTTTTAGGAAAATTAACCATTTAGAATAACTAGTAAAATAGTTGATGAATTAACCAATAGAAAAGCAGCTCTACAACATTGGTGCTGTAATGTCTGATCTCAGATTATTAGCTGAGACATGTAGCCCTCGCAGAAGCAGCTTTACATAGAGAACAATGGCTACAGACTACAGACAGCTGCTCATTCTTTGCTTGAAACTAGCCAGGCATTATGCAAATGTGTTACACAGTGAATTAGATATCTAACAGAAGTAAAGCCTCAACTTCAAATGAGGCATTTCAGGCAGGTAAGGAGCAGTGTTTTCTGTGGGAGAGCCCTTTGGTGTGGACTTTCTAAGTTTGCAGAGCTTCAAAATACATTTAAAAAGCAGCTATGTAATACACTGAGGGCATGGACAACCCTCCAAAAAACACCATATAGGCTCTTTAATATTCCAACTTAGCACACTGAATGATGATTGTCGGTTACTCTACCTGTATGACAGCTCTCGAGAATGTGTAATCAGCCCTCTTCTTTCTACTTACATGCAAGATATTGTGTAATCTAACAGATGTGATACTCACTGAACACATTATAAACTGCTCATTTGTGTGTCCTTTGCTCTTTGTGTGCTCTGCTCCTTATTTCGCAGATCATAACGTTCTCGGGAGCCATTGGTTTGCAGTCCAACAGTGCCTGTTTGGTGGGCCATTTGCATTTGGCGCACATGTCCACGAGTCACAGTCACACAGCAGGTAACACGGATGTATGATATGACCTTAGAAGTGAATTTGAGCCAATCAGATGTTTCCCAGATGGTGCTGGTGACAGATCAGAATCTAAACATCTGATTGTACAGGATAGAGGGAGAAAAGTAAACCCTGGACACACTAATAAAATATTCTTGTGGGCTCATCAATTCTTTAAAATGTACGTAATTTATAACGACTGAAACTTCGATACGTTCTGCCCTCCTTCAGTTCCTCAGGATTTTAGTTACCTCTCAGAGAGAAGTGTCATCAGATCCATCACTGACTTCATCACAGAGGCCGGAAAAAAAGGTTAGTGGACTCTAAAACCTTGTCAGCGACAGCACAGTTTACATATCTGTCTTTTAACAGCACAACGTCTTCTCTCCCTTCGCATCCAGGTCCAGAGTTCTCCCATCCAGCTCTGGTTAAGACTGCTCTGACCCCCTTGGCATCGGTCGGAGCCAGTTTTCAGTATCCCCCCATCAACTGGAGCGCCGTCCTGTCTCCTCTGATGAGGCTGAGCTTTGGTAAGAGTTTTCGCGCTCTGTCTCTCTCTGTAGGGCCGGCAGAGTCAAAGCACCGACTGCGTTTTTGTGTTTGACAGGAGAGGATGTGCAGCATCAGTGTGTGGTTCTGGCAGCGTGTCAAGCTCAGTCTTCCCAGAGTGCTGCTCTCTTCCTGGGCTCCTGGCTGTCACCACCCCTTGTGCACAGTCTCAGTGTAAGTTCTTCTTAAACAGGCCTGGGTATCGGTACTTTAATAGCAGAAAAAAACATGTGTCTCCAAAGCCGGCATCACATTTATATCCGATTTCTAGACTTGTTCATAGTTTCTTGATTATAGGTTTTCTAAGGATGATACATTTTTATAAATTTTAAAATTAAGAGGGTGTCCTACAAGCAGGTCTATGAATTACAGTTCGACACAGTTTTCCCCAAAATGCTGTCAGACTTCTTAAGGTTATCTGTCTGTGGTGCTGAAGTGAAAGATGGATGCACTTTGTGCTACGTTCAGACTACAAAATAAAAGACATGCAGCCCTGGGACCAAACTTGAGCACCGATATGACAATAGAGTTTTATCTCGTGTACTATCATGACAACTGAACCTGCAGCGGAAAAGTTATGAGGTGAAGACAAACCTGTCAGAATAGCTTTTACTTTATCTTAACTTGCATGGCGTTGAGCAACAAAACCCCAATGGGCTCCTTAGCTCACAATGTAAGTGAAAAACGGACCAGGTTTTATAACCATTTCCTGCTTTAATCTCTTAAGACCCGAGCTCTTGCTTGATAGTCATTTTTTATTTGTCTTTCAAAGAGAAACAAAAAAATTAAAAAATATAAATAAAATAAAATATATTAAAGAAAATATATATATATATATTAAAAATAAATAAATAGCAAAATAAAAAACTCATAATAAAAATACAAAAATAAATACAAAAATTAACTACTGTGGTAATATAACCCAAAATGTGGTGCCCACGCATGTGGACACCAGGTCTGAAGAGGTCTAACTTCGCCACAACTTCATCCCTGACATGTCTGGTGTGTTCCTTGGTCTTCATGATGCTGTTTTTTCACTAATGGTTCTCTAACAAACCTCTGAGGCCTTCACAGAACAGCTGTATTTATACTGAGATTGAAGTACACACAAGTGGACCCTATTTACCAATTAGATGACCTCTGGAGGCAGATGGTTGCACTGGATTTTATTTAGGGGTATCAGAGTAAAGGGGGCTGAATACATGTGCAAACCACACTTCTCTGATTTTTATTTGTAAAAAATCTTTAACACCTCTTATCATTTTCCTTCCACTTGACAATTATGCACCACTTTGTGTTGGTTTGTCACATAAAATCCCAATAAAATACATTTAAGTTTGTGCTTGTAATGTAAAACCGAAAATTAGCGAACGTGTGATTTAAGAAAAATAACACATAGACATGATTTACCGCCAGCTTTCAGTACTTTTGATAATCAGCCAACACTTCCCTCTGTTGCAAAACATTTTGAGGCTCGATACCCAGATCCTGGATAAAAGAGCCTCTTTACAGACGGTCTTTCTCCTTCAGTTCCAGACTCGGGCCCACCTGTACGAGACCCTGGGTTTATGGATGAAGCACGTGGCTGAGGACAAGCTCCAGGTCTACGTGGAGAGTCTGGGCCTGCAGCAGTTCCAGGAGGACCTCCGACCCCAGCGCTTGTCCATGTGCCGCTCTCTGCTGCAGGGCCTCGCTCAGGCCATGGCCCTCCCAAACCCGCCCAACAACTGCTGGAGCATCCTCTGCTCCACCACCGAGAAGATCTTCATCCTCCTGCCCAACCAAATCCAGGTGCAGTAGGAGTGTTTGCACATTTAGAACCAGACTGGAGCTATTTTCCACACCACTAAGACTCTGCTATTGAAACTACACCCAACTAAACCATCAATGGCACTTCTACTTCAACATTTTAACCCCTGTCAGCATTAAATGACGCATCAGTTGTTTTCTCTTCAACTGACAATTCGAAAACCTTTTATTTGTCAGCTTTCATGACGTCGACATCAACTGACAACGCAGCTGCTTTAATCTCTCAATTCTCAACCGACAGTTCTGCTCAGTTCTTTGTTTACTTCATTCAACCGCTCAGGCCTTAAGCTTGAAACTGCTTTCAACTCTTACACACAGAAACAAATCGATATCAAATGTGATGCAAATGGCATAAATTGTGTTTAAAAAAATACCACTTCAGCTCTTGGTGCTTTCATTTCTTTCAGGATAACGAGGTGGATTTGTACGTGGCCATCACCAAATGTCTGTCTGAGATGTCTGACACAGAGATCGACAGGATCGCTCGAGTCTCAGAGGTACTGTATTGAATAACCACAATAATGATGTGCCTGCTTCCACTGCTAGTGTGGGTCTTACATCTCAACTATTGAATATACTTTACTGTAAATATCACTGGGATGTCTGTATATAAGATGGAAAGCCTTCTTTAGATTTTTTGCTATTTACTTTTCCCTGTTTCTTTTTGATTGTAGATTAAACAAACTACCACTTGTTCATTTCCAGTCATTATGCTAAGTGAGGCTAAAGCATCCTGGCTCTTGATCTGCACTACATAAACGTGACATTCGTATTCATCTGCTCACCTGACTCTCAGGAAAAAAAAAGCAAATTTCCCAAAATGTTTGAACTGCTCCTTTAAATCATAAACGAGCTTGAAGTCCAATTCGTCAGACTAAATGAACTATAGCTGCATTTAAATTGTTTGAGCAGCCAGGCTCATGCTGTCTGGCTGAAGTGTCGTCTTTGAAACCATCACAGGAGGGCAGCAAACACACAGGATGGTGTAGCTTT